CCCCAAAACCCCAAAACCCCAAAACCCCAAAACCCCTTAATTTTGAACCCTCATTGAAACTTTACTCTGTTATTTATAGATATACTCTCTGTTTTTGCGATAACTTTTCACTTGCCCTGTCTCGAATACCTAAAATATGTGACATGAGTAACTCTAAATAAGAGCGATGAAACTAGAATTTGGGGTATGCAAAAGAACAAGCAGAATTGATAGACCAGTTGTCAAGAAGGCTAAATGTAGTATAGTAAGTTTCTATTAGGAATACTGCAGATATGTCACATAATATTGTTATTTTTTAAATAGGAGTGCATTCAAGAATGTATGGCTTACCTTGACTTCTTTCTTAGCATCCCCACACTCACTGAGGATATCATCATCTTCTTTGATGGCGTTACAAATGTTCTGTTTGGTATAATCCTGGTTGACCTTCCTGATTAGCCTCCTGGGCACAGGTGGTCTCTTTTTATACCTAGAGAAGATCAGAAGGGAGCTTACAGGTTCTTGCATTTAGTCCCCTTCAAGAATGGATGCTTTTTGAGGTCTTTAAGAGTTCTGCCACTCCTTTTTGGGCCAGCACCTAATCTCTCACGAGGGTCTTTGACTAGCAGTTTATTTGATTAAATCTTTTGCATTTTGATCCATATCATCAGGAAAAGTAACCTCTCGTTCAAGAATAGCCTCGAATACAGCAGTTTCCGTCTCACCTTTGAATGGAGGGAAACCTGTGAGACATTGGTAGATGATGCAACCCAATCCCCATAAATCTGATCCGAAGCATGCGATGTTGTGGTCCAGCATTTCTGGCGAGACGTACAACGGCGTACCCACAAAGGTTCCTCCTCTACTTTCTTCTTCATCATCACTACAAAGTATTAGACAAATATTTTAGAGGGCAAAGTCATGCAAAATTCCCATTTGAATATAAATTTAGTTATAGTTGTAAAAATTCTCTATTGGCTCAAAAGTCAGTTCCTGCATATTTGTCAGAATGAAGAGCTTTTTGAGTAAATTACCTGAATCTTCCTCCAAAATCTTCTAGCTCAAAGGCTGGATCAGTATCAATATCACTGGAGTCATTGCCGTAATCAAAGCTAACTTTTGATAGTTCTTCATTCACCTGAGCAGGATCGATAATTTTGGCTGCGCCAAAATCACAGATCTTGCAATGAAAACAACCATCTATCAGGATGTTGTCCGGTTTCATATCTCTATGGACGATATTGTTTTGTTGGAAATATTCAAGCACGGAGATGATTTCCTTGGCGTAGAACCTAGTTAGACTCCTACTCAGCCTAATCCTACTTCTGATTAAGCCTGCTAAATCTCCAATAGGGTGGTATTCTAGCACAAAGTAACAATTTTCTTCATCTTTAAGGGTGGTCTCTAATCTTACGATGTTGTTATGACTACATTTGTTCATGATATCCTTTTCTCTCATGAGGTGCTTAAATCTGTTCTGTCTGGAGATCTCATCTTTACTCATCTCCTTCAGTGCGTAAGGTAAATTGTTTAATTTGCAATTCACAAGAGTCACATTTCCGAAGGCTCCTCTTCCGATGTACTGGACTCTTTCGAAGTGTCTGATAGTGCAGTCAGGAAACTGGTCTACTAGCTTAGAATCCCTCTCTAACATAGGATTGGGGTTAAATAAGAATTTAGTTTCTTCCTTGGCTTTGTCATTCTTTTCTTTATCAGTCTCATCTTCAGTTTCGTCTTCTCTACGGTCGCCTGAGTGGTCACGAGTTTTACCTCTGAATTCTTTAGGTTTGTCCGTAACTGTCTTAGCTTTGTAAGCCCTGTGGTTCTCTTTGTCTAGATTGGTTGACTAAAGGTGCACTCACCTGGATGTTTTGCTCTCCTAGGTTTATAGCCCTTCACAGGGGATATTGAAGAGCTATCTTCCTGGTAGATCTCTTCCTTCTCATCCTCATCATCATCTTGACTGGTGTTTTTAACCAGACTAAAAGAGCTGACCTCTCCTTTCTTCAGGTTGAGATAATCGTAATCCAGATTAGGGTAATCACAGAAGTCGTAGTTCTCAATATCAGATTTGGAACGCTGCAAGTTCTGGATGCACCTGTTATGTCTAATAGTCTTGGACCTATCCTTGGCCTTTCTTTGACCTTCACCTGTGAGTTAGTGGCTTAGCGTACCGAATGTATACTCCATTCTTCGTAGCAGTTTAATTATTTCAATAATGTTTTTACAAATGGGGTTTTGGGGTTTTGGGGTTTTGGGGTTTTGGGGTTTTGGGGT